AAAATTCTTTCCCAATTTTCTACCTTCCTTCTAATCTTAGTTGCATTGGCTTTGTTTGTGCAAAAACTTTTCAATTTAATGTAATCAAAATTATCCATTTTGCTTTTCATAATGTTCTCTATCTCCTGTTTGGTCATGAATTCTTCTGTTCTCCATAGATCTGATAGGTAAACTATTCCTTGTTCTCCCAGTTTACTTATGGTATCAGCCTTTATATCTAAGTCATGAACCCATTTTGACTTTATTTTGGTATATGGTGTGAGATTTGGGTCTATGCCTAGTTTCTGCCATACTCTTTTCCAGTTTTCCCAGCAGTTTTTTTCAAAGAGTGGGTTCTTATCCCAGAAGCTGGGGTCTTTGGGTTTATCAAATAATAGATTACTATAGTCATTGACTACTGTGTCTTGCATATTTAACCTATTCCACTGATCCACCTCCCTATTTCTTAGCCAGTACCAAGCAGTTTTGATGATTGCTGCTTTATAATACAATTTAAGATCTGGAATTGCTAGGCCACCTTCCCCTGCATTTCTTTTCATTAGTTCCTTTGATATTCTGGACCTTTTGTTTTTCCAAATGAATCTTGTTATTATTTTTCTAACTCTATAAAATAATTTTTTGGTAGTTTGATTGGTATGGCACTGAATAAGTAAATTAGCTTAGGTAGGATTGTCATTTTTATTATATTAGCTCGGCCTACCCATGAGCAACTGATGTTTTTCCAATTATTTAGATCTGATTTTATTTGTGTGAAAAGTGTTTTGTAATTGTGTTCATAGAGTTCCTGGGTTTGTTTCAGGAGGTAGACTCCTAAATATTTTATAATGTCTACAGTAAGTTTAAATGGGATTTCTCTTTCTATCTCTTGCTGTTGGGCTTTGTTGGTAATATATAGAAATGCTGATGATTTATGTGGGTTTATTTTATAGCCTGCAACTTTGCTAAAGTTGTTTATTATTTCAAGTAGTTTTTTACTTGATTCTCTAGGATTCTCTAAGTATATCATCATGTCATCTGCAAAGAGTGATAGCTTTGTTTCTTCTTTGCCTATTCTAATGCCTTCAATTTCTTTTTCTTCTCTTATTGCTAAAGCTAAGGTTTCCAGTACAATATTGAATAACAGTGGTGATAATGGACATCCTTGTTTCACCCCCGATCTTATTGGAAATGCTTCTAGCCTGTCCCCATTACATATAATGCTTGCTGAAGGTTTTAGATAAATGCTATTTATTATTTTAAGGAAGACTCCATTTATACCTATGCTTTCTAGTGTTTTTAATAGGAATGGGTGTTGTATTTTATCAAAAGCTTTTTCTGCATCTATTGAGATGATCATGTGGTTTCTGTTGGTTTTGTTGTTGATATGCTCAATGATGCTGATAGTTTTCCTAATATTGAACCAACCCTGCATTCCTGGTATAAATCCTACCTGGTCATAGTGTATTATTCTTGTGATAAGTTGCTGCAATCTACTTGCTAGTATTTTGTTTAAAATTTTTGCATCTATATTCATTAGAGAAATTGGTCTATAATTTTCTTTCTCTATTTTGACTCTTCCTGGTTTAGGTATCAACACCATATTTGTATCATAAAAAGAATTTGGTAAGACTCCTTCTTCACCTATTTTCCCAAATAGTCTATATAGTATTGGAATTAATTATTCTTTAAATGTTTGATAGAATTCGCATGTAGTATATTATTCCCTTCTTGAGCCAAATCTGATGAGAGCAAAGTTCAAACAATGCTTGCCCCCCTCCTTTTCCCTCTGCTGTAATAGGATTTTGTGTCTTTTCCTGTAATGTAATTTACCCTTGTCTGCCTCCTCCTTTCTCAGTACATTTTCTAAAATCAGACTACTCCACTTACTTGGAGCCATTTAACCCACTTGATTAGATTTTTTTTTTGTCATTACATCAAAGTCAACTAATATCCACCCCCTTTATGTATACTCCTTTATCATGGTGTAATAACAATACAGTTCTCAAGAGTTGCAAGTGTCATCTTCCCTTGTAGGGATATAAACAGTCTGCCCTTATTAACAACATTTTGTATCTTTCTGTCTCATTTACCTTTTTATGTCTTTCTTGAATCTTGTACTTGAAGATCAAATTTTTTGTTGAGCTCTGGTCTTTTTATGAGGAAGGTTTGGAAGTCCCCTATTTTGTTGAATATCCATCTCCTCCCTTGAAAAATCATGCTCATTTTTGCAGGGTAGTTGATCCTTGGCTACAATCCAAGCTCCTTTGCCTTTTGGAATATCATGTTCCAGGCCCTGCAATCTTTTAATGTAGAAGCTGCAAGGTCCTGTGTAATCCTGACTGTGGTTCCATGATATTTAAATTGCTTCTTTGTGGATGCTTGCAGCACCTTCTCTTTCATCTGGTAATTTTGGAATTTTGCTGTTATATTCCTTGGCGTTGTCAATTTGGGATCTCTTTCAGGTGGTGAGCGGTGTATTCTTTCTATGATTATTTTACCTTCTGGTTCTAGGACTTCAGGGCAGTTTTCCTTTATGATTTCCTGAAAGATACTGTCCAGGCTCCTTTTTTCATCATGATTTTCAGGTAGCCCAATAATTTTTAAATTGTCTCTCTTGGATTGATTTTCCAGGTCAGTTGTTTTACTGATGAGATATTTTATGTTTTCATCCATTTTTTCATTTTTTTGTTTCTGTTTGACTAATTCTTGCTCTCTCATAGAGTCATTAGTTTCCATTTGTCCAATTTTAGTTTTTAACAGATTGTTTTCTTCTGTTTTTGTACTTCCTTCTTCAGTTAGCCAATTGTATTTTTTAAGGGATTTGTTTTCTTCAGTGTACTTTTTTTGCAGTTTGCCAGTTGTGTTTTTTAGGGGCTTGTTTTCTTCAGTGTATTTTTTTTCAAATTGGCCAATTGCATTTTTTAAGGACTCTTGTACCTCTCTCATTAGACTTTTAAAATCCTTCTTGAGCTCTTCTTAGAAGGCTTTTTGGGCTTCAAACCAGTTCATATTCCCTTTTGATGTTGCAGATGTGGATTTGTTGACAATGTTGTCCCCTTCAGAATTTCTGTCTTGATCTCCACTCTTCTCATAATATGAATCTATGGTACGTTTCTTTTTACTCATGGTTTCTTTATTCGCTGGCCTTGAAAGAGATTGAGCTCTCCTGCTGGGGAACAGAGGTCACTGACCCAAGCTTCTTGTGGTGGGAGCCTAGGTCTTGGTCACTGGCTTTGTGTGCTGGGGCCTCTTATGTTGGCAATTAGAGGCTGTAGGATTCTGGCAGCTTACCTCGTGTTGGGCTGGAATCAGCAAGGCTGGAACTTTCAGGCAATTCTAGGTTGCCTGCTTTTCCTTTCCTTTAGCTTTCTTCAGCTCCTTTTAGATGGGTGCTGCAGGGTGTTTAATCTGCCTGGGGCCCCTTGCAATGCTGCCTCCCTCATTTCTGCTAATGCACTGGGAGATTCCTTTGCAGCAGAGTGCCAAGGCACCTGGTGGTTTTCTGAGCTGGTTTCCACCGGTTCTCTTGCCCTCACTGAGGTGCTCAGAGGTCCAGGTGTTGGTGTTTGCTGGCTCTACCACCTGGGCTTCAGGATTTACTCCTGGTTGGCAGTTGGAGGCTGTAGGGTTCTGACAGCTTACCTGGTGTTGGGCTGGAATCAGCAAGGCTGGGACTTTAGGAAGACTTTAGGTTGCTTTCTTCAGCTCCTTTCAGATGAATGCTGCAGGGTGCTTATCTGCCTGGGGCCTTTTGTAGTGCTGCTTCCCTTATTTTTGCTGAGGCACTGGGAGACCTGTTTGCTGGGCTGCTGTGCTGCTGTTCCCCATCTTTCTTCTAGTTCACCTGTTTCAGGGTTTTTTTTTTCCCCCTGGGGTGATATTTTCTGGGTTTTCAGAGGTTGATAGGGGAGGGTGAGAGCGACTACCTTTTTACTCTGCCATCTTGGCTCCCAGAAGCGGAAGTCTCAACCTGTTTCTGATAGTCCAATATTGTTTAGTTGCCTCTGTCCCAAACGTGAAGACTTCCCCAGGCAGAATGGGTGGATAAGAACAATTTGTTTCAATGGCCACAAAAGCCTGTGAAGCAGGCTGTGGAACTCTTAGAGCTTGGTCAGACATCAAAGATGCCAAGACCATCTACTGCATCCTAGACCATCACCAGTTGTCCTGAGTTTTATCTTGCCACTGGACTTCAATGATTCTGGGAGAGTGAGGCTGACGACCTTGTAGAACTCTGCCTCACTTAAATCCAATTCATATTTGAGTCAAGACATTACCCCCATGATGTCATTGGTCCTCTTCAAAATGAAGGACAAACAGGAGTTGGCTTCTATCCATTTAGTCCACAAGTATTTTGGAAATCCAGACATACTGTGGTGTTTACCTGATCTACCAATGGTGCCCCTGACAAAAAATGGAAGGGAAGCATGACCTTTTTTGATTAGCTTATGCTGACTCTTAGTAATCATTGTTTTTAAAACCATGCCTTCAATAATATGCACAAGAGTTTTGCAAGGAACTGGCAATCGATTTTTTTGAAAGTGAAAACCTAGTGATCAAAAACATTTATAAAGCACTGACTGTGTGCTGCATGTAAAATGACAAAAATGATTCCCTGCCCTTCCTCTATTGGGAGAAATAAGAAAATACACAAGTAAGATTTTCAGGGAATATGAGGACAGGAGGTGTGCTAGCTGCTGGAAGATCAGCAAAACAATGTAGAAGCTGTTGACTCAGCGAAGTTTTTCAGAAAATAAAGGATTCTAATAGGAAATGAGAGGAGAATGTATTCCCATCGCATGGAAAAACCAGAATTGATACTAGAGATGAAACATTATGTGTGAAGAACAGCAAGAAAGCCAGTATGATTGGACTATAGCATGCAGGAAGGAAAATTATAATAAAGTTGGGTAGCTAGGTGGAGCAGGGATAGGGTGCCAGGCCTGGAGTCAGAAGACATCTTTGTGAATTCAAATCTGGCCTCAGACCACTAGCTGGGTGCCCCTAGGCAAGTCATAGCCTTGTTTGCCTTAGTTCCCTCATCTGTAAAATAAGCTGGAGAAGGAAATAGCAGACCATTCCAAATTACTCCAGTTGGACACGACTGATACAATGGAATAACAAAAGTTGGAAAAGGTAGGTTGGGACCAGGTTATGAAAGAATATCTAGAATAGGGAACTTCCCTTCATTGCTTCTTCCATCTTCAACAAATAAAATTGCCCTTCAGGCCCACACATTTTTTTTTCTCATCCTTTGTTGTTCAGGAATAGGTATGCTACAGGAAATGCCTCCATAATTGACATTCCCCATCACCTCATAGTCTCTCTTTGAGCTAGGTTTGTGAGTTGCTTCTACATCCTACCAGTTTGGTCTGTGGCATATTCCCACAATAACATTGCTTCTGTTGCTCCTTCCATTGATTATCAAGTGTTTTCTGCAGCTTTGCTTTCCCCATGACCTTGTAGTCTGTGGATTCATACATATGAATGTATTTAATATGCAGTGTACCTCTCCTTGACTTCTAACTCATGGGTGGTGAACTTCTTTTGGTGGTGAAAATCTGAGTTCATCAGACACTGGCAACCATCCTGCAACACCCAGACTATGCCTCCACTTCCATCACCAACACATTGCCCAAGTTCAGCTCTAAATAAGATTAAAGTGTAATTGAGTTGCCCTGGTGAAGTTGGTGCTATATCTACTCTGGCTCCCAAAATTGGTCCCCTGGGCCTGTCTACAAAAAAGGTTAGTGATCATATCACCATAAGGCAAGTGGTGACTAGAAATGGGTAAGGAACTCTGTGAAACACCATTGGGAACAGACAGGTCCAGATTGAGTATTGTGTCTTATGCATCAGCCTCGGTCATCAAGTCCCTGAAAGAACTTCCCTGAGAGAAAGAAGTAGAAAAATGCTGTCCTTAATGAGATTATCGACATTGCTCAAGGGAAAAAGCAGTCATCCATAGCAAAGAGATCTCTCTGGAATCATCAGAGTCCCATAGGCCAACCTGGTCTGTGGGATGCAATGGTAGTCATTGTCATGATGTCATTGATGACATCAGTAGTGGTACTGTGGAATGTCCAGCTGGTTAAGAACCACAGAGAGATTGTGATAATAAAAGACTATTTGATAACAGATGGTCATTTCATTTCTCGGAACAGAATGGGAGAAAATACCAAAGGTTTTGAAATGAGGGGAGAATGGGGAGGTCACTACATGTGACCTCACTTTTCTTATTAGACATACTCCATCTCTGCCCAAGAGCTTTATTTTGAGCTGTGGCCCAAATATTGTCAGATTCTGCATTTTTAGCCACTTCTCAAATCTTCTGAAACCTCTGCTTTCAGCTGGCAGCAGTAAATGAAAATGTTAAATATGGTCTTCAGTTTCTTGCTTATTACTTCAAAATCGTTAGTAGAGCTGTCTAGGTTCTAGGTTGGGGTAGAATCCCCAGCAATGGGTAATGATCATCAACTCTGAGAAGATCTTCCATCTCATCCTTCATACACACCTGAAGTACACAATACACCACCTTATTCATGGCAGTTTCACCTATGGCTATCTCAGTATCTCTCAATTACCAATCACAAGTCCTCTCTCCCTCTTTTACTAGACAGCTCCTTGCCTTTTAGCACATGTGGATGCTCATTCTTCTTTGGAATGCAAAAAGCTACTTCTTCCTTATAGGATTCAACTCTTCTACTCTATTAGAAGAGCTTTCATAATTCGTAAGGTTTAGTGGTCCTTATTGTCCTCTCTCCCCTGTCATGTTCTTCCCCTCCATGCTGCTGATAAGTTTGTGATTCTCCTCTTCCCTGGTTAGGTTGTGTCTTATTTTATTTGAAACATTTCTCCAGGTTTTTTTTCAACTCTTCTTTAGTAAGCAGACCAATTTGCATCTTGTGTGCATCAAGCTGTCACTTGCCAGACAGAAACACAAAAGAGAGAACTCACCCATCGTACACTCTTTGTTCTAGGTAAGTTGAACTACTAGCTGACCTTCATGCTCAGCATGCCATTTCTTACCTCTATGAATTCTGCAGGTCATATTAAATGTCTGGAATACATTTACTTTTCATTTCTGCCTGGCAAAATGTTTCTCTTCCTTCAAGGTTGAGATACCATTTCCTCTGATTTGCCTCTGCTTGAAAGTGATCTCTTCATCAATTTTTCCTAGAGTATTTTCTCTGGATCTCTCCCTTACCCTCATCATAGACACCTGGAAAAAATAAAAATGCATAATAACCTAGATTATAATATATACATATAGTTGAATGGGTAGCCTGTTGAGTTAGTCTATCTGTGGGTGTATATACATATGTATGTATATCTTAGGCACTGTAAATGGGCAAAAGCTAAGAGGGAGAGATTGACCAGGATTTCACTTGGAAAATAGCACAGCATTTTAAAAAATCCCAATTATTGATATAAACTCTCATCTTTTTAACATCAATTTCCTCACAATATTTTTTATCAGGATACAAATCTCAGATAAATCAAAATTGTAGGTATCCCAGTTGTCAATGGAAATACATACAATGGGTAGGATGTGACTTATTACCAACAAAACTTTTGTACGAAAAAGGAGACTAAAAAGACATTATGACCAGAAAAGCAGGTAGAAAATTCATGTGACAGTGGAGTATGACTACCCAAGTGTTGTTGTTGGTCTTAATTTTCTCATTAGATGTATTCCATCCCTGTCCAGGAGCTCATTTATCCATGAAATTAAAAAAAAATGTTGAGTTAGTCAGCAACTTGTTTTTGGAAGTCCTTTTCTTCCCATCATGGAGTGCTCAAGAGATTCCTTTTAGGCATGATATAGCTTCCTTGCTGTGCCTTTTTGGAGCCATGAATTTAGGGTTAAGTAATGCTTGCAGATACTGATGTCAGCTCATCAGGAGACAACTCCAGGACACCACTGAGAAGATGGGAAGTCCAAAATCCTCCCAAGGCTTTGAAACTTGTAAGGTCCTCCTCTGGCCGAAGTGGGATGGGGGTCTCATATCAGGGGACCAAGGTTGAAATGGAAGTAGTCTTTTCTCCCTACCCCAAGCAACTTCTCCTTTTCAAGGGGTTCAGCTAGAATATGTTCTCCTTTTTCACTGTAGGCTGGAATCCTAATCCCCCTAGGATAGAAACTTGTGACAATGTTTCTTCAGCAAATCTGAACATGATTCCTATGCAACGTTCCACTTCCAGAGACTTTTTGCATTTAGTGCTTTTAAACTTTTAACCTAAAGCCTATAATTTCACCTGGTTAAGGTACCAGGGCATCTTTGGCAGCTAGGTCATGCCGTGGACAGAGTGTTGGACCTGGAGTCAAGAAGCTCTGAGTTCAAACCCTTACCTATCTCAGACACTTACTGTATGACTGGGACCAATGTACTTAACCTTAGTTTCTTTATCTGTAAAATGAGGATAATAATACCTACCTCCTAGGTTTGTTGTGAGGCTCAGTTGAGATAGTATTTGTAAAGTGCTTTGCAGACCTTTATATAAATGCTAGCTACTGTTATTAACTATTATTACATTAAGTAGAGTGGGGCAACTTGATTGATTTACTCACCCCACCCTTACGTAAATCTACTCCATTCTTCCTTTTTCTAACTCCCCTACTTAAAAAAGAAGTTCCTTTTTGATGAGCATGGTGTCCCATAGTGAAATATTCCCAGGGCTTGAATAACATGAAAAAGATTAGGAAATCATTAATGTCTTTCTTATAAATAAGTGTGTTCTGTATTCATAGCCTATAAACTCAGCTATGATAGCACTCAGGTTCATTTTAGTTCTTTAAGTAACAGTCATCAATTGTGTATATTGTGTCTCCTCCCAGCCCTATGTTACAGTGATACGGGGGGAAAAGTCACCAACCTTTAAGCTACCACTCTCTAAACCACCACCCTCTTTCCTCCATAGATCAAGGTAAGCCAAACGATTGAGTTTTGCCCAGCAGAATTTCATTCCAGCTTCCTTTCTCCTCCTCAGAGTGGTACCCAAAGTTACCCACATATATTGACTCATGTTTACATTTATCTGTATATCCCCCATACCTGTCATAGTGTTGTGCACCTAAGGGGCTCTTCATAAGTGCTTATTGAATTCAATTATAACTCTGGATCAAGTCCTCAAAACTTCTCACATGGCCTTTTATAATAGCTTCCTAATTCATCTTTGGGCTCTGGTCTCTCAATCCAGTTCTCACACCAAATGTTAAGGCTGCCATAATCTTCCTAGTATGGAATGTCCTAAGTTCTGTTCATGCTACTTCCCTTCTCAAGAGTCTTCAATGGCTCACTATTGCCAGTAGTACAGCACCTTTAGGCTGGCATTTAAAGTCCTTCACAATGGGCCCCAACCTACCTTTGAAAGCTCATTCATACTCTGTTCCTTTAGTCTGTCCCTTACATTCTACGTTCTAGCCAAAATAGACAACTGGCTGTTTCCTAATTTTACTGTATTTTCTCCTTCCTCTGTGTATTTGTAAAGGCCAAGTACCCTTGCCTGGAAACAATACCTTCCATATTGGAATCCTTTTCTTCCTTTGGGACTTTGATTGGATGCCTCCTCTTCCTTGAAACCTTTTCAGACCTCTCCAAATAGAAAGGGATCTCTTGTACCTCGAGTATTCTTGGAGCACTTTGTCATTTTTTCCATCTTGTCTAATCATATTCTGTTTTTTTTTGTCATATTTGTGTCATATATTCCTTATTAGGTTATAAATTCTTTGAAGCCAGAGACTGTTGGTTTTTCATCTTTTTTTTTTTTTGTATCTCCAGGGCCTGTCATCATGCTTTGTGGCCTGAGTAGTTAAGTTTTAGAATTGCCTTTGACTCAGAGAGATTGAGTGGAGCTTACTCTCTAAGCTAGAACATTTCAGGGGTGGGATTTGAACCCAGAGTTTCCTGGCTTCATGTCCAGCACCCTATCCTTTATGACTTTTTGTTTGGAACATAGCAGGTACTTTGAAAATATTTGTTGAATATGTGAATCAATTAATCAGTTGGTGTCAACTGCTGCAAAGCCAAGTCTATTCCACCCCTTCTTTGTGCAATTGATTTTTTCAAAGATCAATGAAATTTAATTTTTTTTCGGAAAGGCAAATGGAGAGGTTGGTAAAAATAAGCTACAACATATTACCAAGGAAAAATTAAGCAGGAGAAGTGATATAAGGGATAGCATCAGAGAGATATATGACCAGGAAATAAGAGTGAGTAATAACCACATAGACAGACTATGTGGTCCATTAGTATTCATGTAATGTCAAGAAATGTAAGTAAGAGGCCACTACCAGCACCCTGGATAGTTCCCCAGAAAGGGTTTATGAGAGGATGTGAAGAAGAGACACACAGGATGAAAAGGTATAGATGGGTTGCAATCTGCATCTCTGGGAAAACTGGATATAAGCAGATGACCTTTAGAGGAGGGAGGGAGGCTAAGAAGGCAGGTACCAGTTCTAGGGAACCCACAGCCTCAGAAATCAGCTGAGGAACCCTGTTGATTATAGACCACAGTTTCCTTTTTAACTCCTAAAGTGATGGTGAAGCCTATCCCTAAGGAAAACCAGCCCTAGCACAAAGGCCCAGCTTCATTCCACATCTGACTTGGAGCAGTTTCAGACCATGCTTCAGGTTTCTGAAGGCTGGAGTGTTCCCCTTAGCTGTATAGACATCTCCATGCTGGGGGCTATTGAGGCCCCAACAGGGAAGTCCAATCTCTATTCTTGATCAATCCTGTGGGCATAGCATTAGCCATCGCCTTCTGCCTCTTTTGGATTAGACATCTGTCCTTAGAGTGGCCAGCAAGGAAATGAGTGGCAGAGCAAACAGTCAGGTTGTGGGGGTGTCTCGTGGGAGCTGTCTTTTCTGGGTACATAGTTGTTTTGAGTTCAGTCCTTCTCAGCAACAAGCCCTCCCATACCTGGTGGCTGTGCCTGCACACAGCCTCTACCTTGGCCTGTTCCAGATGCAGGAGTTCCCTCTGCCTGTTCCACAGTCCTCAGCATCTGTCTTGTTCTGTCACCACCACCACCACTGTCACCGCCATCTTTTTTGAGTTGCAATGGGAACTTACAGGTTCTAGGTGCAGACTGCATGTAATCTGTCCCATTGACAGAACTGATGCAGCTGATTTGTGCAAACCTAAATGCAAGACTTTTACTTAGTTGCTGTTACTTTGCTTTTTGTTGTTTTTTACTCATGATTCCAGTTTATTGAAGTAATTTCCAAACTTGATCTTGGCATGTTAATTTTATGCTAGTTTATTTCTTTTATTAGGCATTTGGGGTTAAGTGACTTGCCCAGGGTCACACAGCTAGTAAGTGGCTGAGTTCAGATTTGAACTCAGGTCCTTCTGACTCCAGGACTGGTGCTCTATCCACTGCGCCACCTAGCTGCCCCTTGATTTTGGCATCTGTAGCACCAACTTTTTGTCATCTGTCAACTGATAAATACACTTCTTATATCTTTATCTGTGTCATACACTGTTAGAGCTCAAAGAAACTTTAGAGAATGTCTAAGTCCTTCATTTTGCAGATGGAGAATTGAAACTTTTGAGGTTAAATAACTTGCCTAAAATTGGTTGCAGAGATACTAACTAATGCAACTAACACAGAGACACAGGTCTCTCAATTTCCAGGTTATTATATTTTTCACACTATATCCCAAACAAGTCACTGATAAATTTCAAAAGGCCAAAATCAAGAAGAAAATCCACTGGCATGGCCCTGGAGCTCTCTTCAGGTTGACATTATCATTAATCTGCATTATCTGGGCAAGTTGTTATCTGAATTTCTATTTAGTTTGGAAGTAGTTTTACCTATTGAAGGTACGGCCCGAATCAGCAAGCATATATTAATGACCTACTCTGTCCTAGTTACTGTGCTCGGCACTGAGGACCCAAATAAGAAGAGAAAACAATTTCTGCCTTCAAGGAACTTCTGTTATCCTGGGGGAAATAATACGTACATGGATAAGTAAATATTACGCGTGCGCGCACACACACACACACACATACACACACACACACACACACACACACCCCACCCAAATAAATACACATCATTCAAAGTGTCCCAAAAGTCAATTAAAACTGTAATAAGAATAAGACTTCTGAGACAACATATTTATGTATATTTGTACATACATGGACATATGCACCCATATACATATATACGTATACTACATGTTTATATACATGTGTGTGTGTGTGTGTGTAAAT